TAAGTAAATGCGGTTTGAAGATATATGATATAACAGATACAATTTTTTAAAAAAAAAGAAAAAAAAAAAGAAAAAAAAAAGTTAAATGACCCAGAAAGGGTTGTCCTGCTGTAGCACTGGGCGTTTGGAGTCCAGCTAGCTAAACGCGGCTGAAAGCCTTAACTGGTCCAAATACTACTCAGCATACAGGGTAAGTAAAGCCATTCTGAAAATGTAACCCTATAATTAGCATAATATCTAAGCTTAGTAGTACACATTACCTCACGTTAAGTCAGTCCAGGAAAGTTGCTGTGCGAATTTGCTAACGTTGCATCTCCATTAGTTTACCCGACAAACTTAGTTAGCTACATTGTGACCGCTAACGTAGCTAGTTGTAGCTAGGTCAGCTAGCGGCTAGCTAAGTTAGTTATTTAATTAAAAACAGCAACGCAACACTGAAAATGTTGACCAGTTTAGTTCTAGCAAAAATCCAACACGTTTTTGATTTAATATGTTGTTAGTTTGCTAAACATATGTCTTCTTACAGCTATCAAGGAGACACCAAGGTACGTTCAAAATCTGGCAGTTAGCGTTTACCTTGGTTACAGGTAGAATAAAATACACGGGAAAATGTGATACGGGACTATTGTTACTTGGGAGGGTACTTAGTATTAAATTCAGCATGTGTATTATCTTCATAACAGTCCGGATTTCAGCGCACTTCCTCGTTTAAGTCGATTTCTTGGCTGGCACAGTGATCAAGTCCGTTTACTCATTGTCAGGAGAAGTGACCACCAAGAAAAAAAAAGAAAAATTCCAACATGGCTTGTCTAGGATGCTCCTTCGATGTTTTAGCTTCCAAATACGATTTTAAATTAATATGCACGATGTCCTTTCACAGGTGTACGGTAACGTTACATCGGTGTTTGTAGTTCTTCTAGAAAGCTGTGTCGTTTTGTTTAATGGCGTTCAGGCATCTGAAAAACTCGTGTTCCCGGCATGCAATGCGCCAATCACAGCTCAGTTGATGATGCAGACGAAGAGGGAGAATCAGAATGTTTTTTCCCAATACATTTGGGATTTAGGAGGGAGCAGGCACCTCCACAAATGTTTCATAGGATGGCAAAATGGGGAGACACAAGGTCCCGGGTTGACACAAAAACCAAAAGCAAAAACTGAATTTCAAGAATTTTATTGTGCTCTTGTTCCATCTGTCAATGTGACAGTTAATAAATGTAATACTGATACACACTATAATAATTATCTGTTGTACATAGACTGTTACAGGTGCAGTTAACTTTTAGGTATTGGAGTAACCAACGATCAGAATATGCCTGCAGTGCATTTGAGGGGAAACATTTACCTATAGGCAAGACATCCAGAGTTTATTCATGATTTCAGTGTTGAAAATCCTGTCCACCTGTGATAATAATTTATCTAACTTCATTCAATTATTCATTGTAAACACTGAGTTATCTCTGTTCTCAGGGCATCAGGAATGACGACATTGTGTTCACCCTGAACACTATCACCATCTTGACAGGTGAGCACATCCTGGAATAAGAAGTACGCCATGTTTTGAAATGGTTTCTTTTCTTGTCCATTGGCCAGCCTTGGCACATTGGTTTGATGAGAATCTGATGTGTTTTCTCCTCCTGAACAGATAGAATTGAGTCTGTCTTCAGAAACAGGTAAGCGGTGTACCACATCAACAATCTCTATCTCAGCTGTTTTCTGGTAGATTAATCATAGCAACTGGACTTCCTTGAGTTCCTTGAAGACGTTCCACCTCTCATCCAAGAGGCTTCATCAGTTCTGACTGACTAGTTGGGAGTTCCAGATACTTATATCCTTAAGGAGCCATTAACACCTGAGATTCGGTTTCAATTGGGCTTTGTTGCTCCTCCCCCTCGTTATGTGAGTCGTTAGTGCTCCCCCTGCTACAAAGGGTTCGTTAGGGTCTTTTGTTGTTAGTTGTGAATGTGAAGATGAAAACTACATTCACAACTAACAACATAAGACCCTAACGAACCCCTCTGTGGCAGGGGGAGCACTAATGACTAACATAATGAGGGGGGGGGATTAAATACCCCCAACTGAAGCCAAAACTCAGGTGTTAATGGCTCCTTAAGGATATAAGTATCTGGAACTCCGATTAATCTACCAGAAAAACCATGACATGGATGACTGAGAATCTTCACAGACTAGCTCAGCTTCCACTGAGCCATATGATGAACACTCTGGAAGACAGGCTCTGCTCAAGGTGTCTGCTAGCAGCGTGTCTTTTCCTGGTGCGTACAACGTCCAGGTCATACTTCTGAATGCGCAGCATCATTCTCTGACGTTGTTTGGTTTTTTTAGTGGTTTCCTCACTATGGTTTCTAAGGGCTTGTGGTCGCTTTACACAGTATCTTTGCAGCCATCTGTGTAGTGGTGAAGCTTCTCCATGCTGAATGCCATAGCTAAAAACTCATGTTGTGTTTGAGCATAGCCTCGCTCTGTTTGCGTGAGTGCTCTGCTTGCCAATCAGTTCTTCGTCTGGGTTATAATATTTCAGCATTTGTGATAGCTTCTATCAGTTTGACGAATGCATTACATGTACTTTGTCTGTCACTGCCTCTGTAACACAGAGAACATCCTCACATGCATCACTCTCACATTGTGTAACATTATTTGTGTTTTTTCTTTGCTTCTTGCTTGTTTTTCTGCCAAATGGTTCTCTCTGCCACATTTTTTGCACTTTTTGCCATATGCAGGGTATTTCTGTCTGATTTTGCCGCGTGTCTTCCCGCAGAATGTGCAGTTCACTACGTTGCTGGTTTGTCTCTGGCGTGTTGTTTACTCCACCACCATCGGTCCTGAGATGGTTTTGATGTTTTCCTGCGACAGCTCTGCAGCTCTGCACAGCTGTACGCACGAGTCCAGCGTCGTGTTTTTCTCACGAAGCAGTCGTTCTCTCATGCTCGTATTGCTACTCCCACACACAATGCGATCTGGCAGATAAGAGAGCCTCTCAACGCTCCAAAGTCGCACGTTTTGGCCAACAGTTTCAGTTCTGTGAGGTAACTGTCAATAGTTTCACTGGCGCCTCGGTTTCTAGTAAAGAAGTGGTAACGTTCCACATTCTAGTTAGCAAGACTGATTTAATGTCAGACAGTGAGAAAAAATTATTTCTTTTCATACACTGTATGTAAACTTCTGGTTTCAACTGTTTACCACGAGGCAGGAACAATATTTGACCAAAACTGATAAAGTTTTCTGATGGTATATTGTTGCCAAGATGACAAACGAATACTATTGTGCTGTTAAGATTAATATGTCAGTTTGCTTTTTGGACAATTTTAGATGTTCTGAAATATTCACTCACAAATGAAGTGAATTCACAGTACGACTTTTAATATTTGTAATAACTACAGCACAATGATAAATGTGGATATTGATTAGGCCTTACTCTGATCGACTTCTTGAAGCGTATACAGTATGTTTAGACTGAAATCTGTAGGAAAGATTGACATTTTTATGTATTTAAAGCCAGCAAGAGATGCATTTTCTGTTTGTTTTTTATGGGGAAGGATGATGATCCTTGCAGCATCTGTTATGTTGGAGAGACTTGAGGCTTCTGTCAGCTTCCATCAGTCCAGGACAGAGTTCAGCCTCAACACAGAAAATATGGGACAGGGAAGTAAACATTTTCCTAAATGGGTAAACATTTGGCAGCCAAAGTGGAGTGAGTTTGGAGATATGTCGATTTTGGGGCATATTTTTAGAGCCTTTGTGAAATGTTTTAAAATGAAACAGGAAGCGGTGAAGTTTATGCCCCTGCTGGCGCCCACCCTGCTTCCCTCGCTGAGCCAAGAAAGACATGTGGATGGAGATAAAACAGCGTGTCAACAGTTTGCCAGAGGGAGGGGAGTAAAGCTCCGACACTCTAGAGATGTAACTGATATTTTAAATTATTTGCAGCCGTATAGAGGGGGCGCTACTAATTTTAAACATCAGGATCACCTTATTCATTATTAGGGCTCATAGTATGGAAAGAGATTTGTTTTCTGACACTCAGGAGACTTTCTTCTACTTGCTGTGAACCCCTTGTACTGTATAATAACCATCATATGATTTACCGAAGAGAATCCAGGAAGAGTCATAATTTGTACTTTTACACTCTCTTGATTCAAAGAGTTTCTTCTTCATTTAACATTGAGAACTTAGAGCTTTAGTTTTTGATGCTGTTTGTTGTTTCTTGCATCTCGGGGGGCCTCTAGCAATGCATCCTGGGAAGTCTGCTGATATGCTAGTTTAGTTACTCCTATATTTATTGAACTAAAATCATGATCTCCAAGCTGTTCATTCATTTAACTCATCATTTTAAAGTCCCATTTTGTGCCCTTTTTCAGTGAATTCATGCAAAACTCATGGTGTGTCTTTGAATTCTTCTTTGAATGGTGCCATTGGTTAACTTTTTAAACATACCGCTTAAAATAAAATCCTCTAGGATTATGTACAACCGAAGTTTCTCCAAAACCACAGCGCGTACACCACACATGCAGGAACTAACAAGACATTGCTATCAAGTTGCATTCTGGGAAGTGTCGGAGTGTCAGTGTTCAGCCTACAAATCACTGTTTGGTTTTGTGTTGTTGTTTTTTTGACCTTTGCAGCTTGAACTTTGCCCCCCACCCCAGGAAAAAAAAACTTTTCTAAAGCTACAAAAGTTTATTTTAAAGAGTAATTCTCACGACAATCTAAGTATACTGTGCTTTTTAATAATACTAATCTGCTAATCTAATTTTGTCCACCATTTTTAAGATATTGAGAAGATTGCAAGCATTAGAAGTTGAATTAAATTTATTTATTTATACATTAATACACATATTTACGACACTGGAGGACAATACACTTATTACAGATCAGAATTTGTCAACAAGCAAACGTACTAAATACACTTTCAGCAAATATTGTCAAGCAAAGCGATTGAATACGCTGAAATGATTTAAATAAATTATACACCATTTGGAGCGGCTTTATGACAGTGAGTGTCCTCCTCTGTAGTTGTTCTGCTGCTGGCAGCTGCTGGGATCCGCTGACTCCGGCCTCTGAAGTATTGGGTGGAGGTACTGTTCGAACTCGCTGCGGTCCAGATCGTACAGCATGTCCAGCTGAACCTGTTCTAAGTAAAACTCCAGGGAGGGCACAGCAGGACACTGTGGGCCCCTGTGAACCCTGGACTCCCTCTGCTCCACCTGAGGACCTGCAGAGCTGGAGGAACCGTACTGCATCTGCTGACCGCCAAAACACGCCTGAGGCTCTGCTTGGTAGGGAGGTGGGTTTGAGTACATGGCCGGGTTGTTTGGGAAAGCGTCTGCTGCTGCTGCTGCTGGATCTGGGAAAACTGGGCTGTTTGTGTAGCTGTCATTCAAAGGGGCGATGTTGGCCGTGGAAGGTGGGAAAACAGGTGTGTTCTGGAAGGTCTGCTGCTGGTTCTGGAGCAGGTATGTGAGGTGGTACGGCAGCCCGTAGCCCGGATCGCAGTGCGAAGGCAGAGATGTTTGTGGAGTCTGAGGCTTGGAGCTCTTCTTCAGCTGCTTCCTCCGCCGAGGCCTGTACTTGTAGTTGGGATGGTCAATGGTGTGCTGGACTCTGAGACGCTCAGACTCCTGCATGTATGGACGCTTCTCAGCCAAGGACATGGACTTCCAGGTTTTTCCTGCAGGAACACACAGTGGTTAGTGATCTGTGCATTCACTGGTTTAGTGAAGTTGACCTTTTAACAGCTGCTAAAACTGTAAAAAAGGAACCAGAGTGTGCCATGTTGGGCCTGAGAGTGAAACATGTAATGATCCAGAGCTGAGACAAGTCAGTAAGCTTCTTATCTTGTCAGGAGGACTGGTGTTTTTAATAACATTTCCCAGCTGTGAGTCTGTGTCTTACCGAGTATTTTGCTCAGGTCCGTGTTCTCCAAGTCTGGGTTGAGCTGCGCCAGCCGCCTGCGCTCCTCTTTGGTCCAGATGATGAAGGCGTTCAGGGGCCTCCGGACCCTCTGCTGTATCGAGGCAGACCTGGCTTCGGGGCTGGTGCTGCTGGAGTCGGAGTTCACGGACAGCGGGCTGGAGGGCACTGAGCTCGGAGAGCGCTCCTCGGTCATCTGCTCGTCGCTTTCGAACATGGCGCTGTTTACGCACAGCTGGAGCGCATCGGAGTCTTGGCTGAAAAGCATGTCTTCTGATGGCGATGCTGCTGTTTGGAGTCCGCTAACATCCTCCTGTCTCCTGAAGACGACCGGTGACGGATTTATGCGGCTGCTGCACCAATGGGAGGCCGGGAGGAGTGGATTTAAGGTGTGAGGTCCAGGTGTTTCCTCAGGTCGGCGATAGGCCCATCTGACGCCCCTATCAGCCACCTCACGAAACTTCAGATGAGAGTCTGGAATAGATCGAACTTTATTGATCCATTTGGTAGGATACCTCAGGGAAACTATAAATAATAAGAATAAACCTGACGATTAGGCTATTATATAGTCATAAAAACACAATTTCACTCCTCGAATTAAGCTTAATAAGCCTCTTATGTCTTCAATTTGGGTTAGTCTTTTTCCACTTGTATGACCTTAAAAACCACGTATGATGCGGTGAAGTAATAATAATAATAATAATAATAATAATAATAATAATAATAGTAAGAATAAATAACAGTTAATATTAAATGTAATTAAAAAGTCTGATCATACAACTTTTAAAAAAATCTAATTTCTGTCATGTGGACTTTGAGCTCTAAATGTAGAAAACAGATAACCGCTGAGACATTTATCCCTGATTCAGTTATTAGAACCGCATTAGGAAATCAGGCGACACTTTGGGAGAGATGGAATCAATATTCCTGAGATGCTGATCGGTGAACATCAAAGTTTGCAGCTCGCCGCTCTGGTTACTAATTACATTGCGACTCTCAGCTCTTATCGGCCATCCACTGTCTTTATCAAAGTACGTTTTACAGGAATAGAAACAAACGTGATCAAGGCACGTTTATTACACGATTACCGCGCACAAATATTTGCGCGATAGGGACGCACAAAGGGGGCGTGATGAGCTTAGCTCCAGGACTTCAAAAAAAAGGAGAAATAACGTTGTTACATTTATCAGCTTGACCGAAAAGATGAGGGGAGGAAAAAAAAAAGAGAGACCGAACAAAGGGAGCTACAGAAAAGAGTGTTGAAACCAGCAGACATTCAGACTCATAGAAACTGACGGCTGTAAGTTGGCACGTTGCTCCTTCATTTCAGCCTTAAACTATACCTGGAGCATCAGTTTCTGCGTTATCTGTGTCTTGTTTACATGCTGACACCTCAAAATGTGAAGAATACAACTTTGATTTTATTTATTTTTCTCATAAATATTAAAGGAAATAAAAGTAAAATGAGCCATAACTCATTTCTGATCACTTATTATAAATTATAGGTTGCTTATGATGACATAAAACATAAAAAATAAAACGTGTAGCAGTACAGAAGCACTGTAAAAAGTGTATTTAAGCTGTAGTTGAAGTGATGCTTATCTTTCTTTTTTGGTTAAGGCAGTTTGTGGATTGTATTAACTTAATATTATCCTTTTGAAGTGGGGCCAGAGTTCAGCTTTGTGTGTCCAAAGTCCACATTTCCTTATTGTTTTCTGCTGCAACTAGTTTCTTCTAGCAGGAGGACAGAGTAAAGACAAAATCATGTTGGAAAAATTAGAAACTTAAAGTTGATTTTCCTTAAAATTTTAACGGTTTTAAATGATTTAAATCCATTTAACAAAACCGATGACATTATTTGATAACTGAGATATGTTCAATTCAATTGCATGTTAACAAATGAAGCAGTTTATTTAAGTTGGTCCAATAATTCACTTTATTTCAGTGTAAATCCAACAATGACTTTATAGTAAGAAACAGACACCTACAGGCCTGTAATACAAATACTGCAGGAATCATTGTACATTTTTTGTGTATCTAGTGTTCCTCTTCAGCACAGAAACTCTGCAGGCCTGTGAACCCACTTTAATATAACAGGATGCAATTACAGGTGCTTGCTCCTCCTGTATGGTTTCAATGGATATATCGTTACAAACACAATAGGTGCCATTACGCAGACGGTGCGGCGATGTTGAATCTGCAATACACGGAGCGACAGTGAGAGCTGCACCTGCACTGTCCCTGCAGACGAGCCACTCATGGAGCCTTTTTAAATTGCAAATACAACGTTAATACACAATAAGGAAAGAGAGCTTGACGAGAATAAACGAGAATCACAAAGGACTGAAAATGATGCGTCATTTAATGGATAACTTGGACTTTTAACTGTCGCGGTCCAGCAGAAGGAGTTGGCGAGACCTCCTGGATATCTCGGTGAAAAATCCTGATCAATAGTGCGTCGGGGGCAAAACAGAAGTGATTAAGGCGGTTTCCACATCTGTATTTAACAAGTAAACTTTTAGGATGAGTCGAAGCTGATGAGCTGGCGTGTGGCTGTGGGGGCAAATAACAGTTTAAAAAAAAATAGGGGAAATCGATACTAAAAACAGGGAGGAATAGATGTTTTGGAGCATTTTATGATAAGAATTATTCATAAATACGAATAAATGTGTATATGTTGTTGGGGAGGTGGGGGTTGGTGTGTGTTGTTTCACAGGTTGTCGGAATTAGAGGCCGAATCCACATCCGCGGTGTTAAACGGGACGCGCGCTCCATTGCGCAGTGCAAAGCGCTAATGGATTGAATCAATTAGCTTGTACGGCGCAGCGTGAATACAATAACGTTAGTTTCGGCTGACCCTGTGCGTGAATTGAGTCGGCTACATATTACACCACGTCTGCGTGTGTGTGATGAATGTAAAACTGAATCATGTCACCAAACTTTTTTTCCGTGCGTCATAACGCACAAGATGTTTGGAGAAGTTTCATTTTTTTATTGTGGAAAAAAAAGTGGAAATGCTCCTTTATTGTGACTCGTATGAATGAATTAATCCTAATCTGTGAGGTGACAGTAGGGTATCAATGCATTGTCTCATATCCAAACAAGCAGAGTGCTGGGCTGAATGGGCACTATGCTTTCTGAATGGGGATTGTTCTCTGAGGCTTTCTGATCACAATGTGCCATTGTACTGGACAGAACTCATATATGGGACACTCCTCTGCTTCTTCACTGTGGATCAGTGATGAGCGAAGGGGCACAGGTAGAGCTGTGAACCCAGGACCTGCTGGAATACAAACTTCTGAAGGGACGACTTGGTTTTGCTGGATTTACAGAAGGGCCTTGGACGCTGTGGACTGGATAGTTGTTGCTTTCTACATGTGGACTATATTTTTTTTGAACACTTGTATATCTCTCCTGGATATTGAGCTATTTTGGTGTTAGTTGCACAACCTGAAGACACTTTCCCACAAACTACAGGAGGCCGGTGTGTCGACCTGCAACATAATGGAGCACTGTATTCCACCTCGGCTCCAGTGCCATCCCTCCGACTTTCCTTACAGTGGCTCATTCATAAAGTGCTGCATTGTTTCATAGCTGGAAGGTGCGAAGAGGATATAATACTGTTGTCTCAGGTGACCATGATCTTCGCAGCGAGGGACTCTATTGCATTGTGTTGTATTGTATGGGCACAGCAGGCCAGCATCAAGATATACTCGGTCAAGTCTCAGACAGCTTTCTATGCAGCAGTATCCGCCTCCACCTCCACTTCTTATCACACGTTTGAGGCCTTCGAGCTCCTGAGCGTTGGCCTCCACACTCCCCGTGCAAACAGCGCCCTGCCCAGCCCTAACGTCAGGCTAGCTGAGAGGATTACATGCCCCCTGGTGTAGACAGGCTTAATGTAGCCTCATTAGCAGAACACAATGATGCCGCCACCTCTGAGCGGAGATAACAGGCCGAGCTCAGCCAGACTTCAAACACAACTTAGGAGGTGGTACAACGTCCAAGCTGCAGCGCAGAAACAGGCAAAACCAATAGAGATGAAGCACCTTTACACTGGTTTTAACCACCTTCTGTCATTTTTGAGTCATTTGTTATGCAAACGTGCTAAAGCATGTGCCATTTCCAGCCTCTAAAAATGTGAAAATTTACCACTTTTCTCTGTTTTACATCTTGAAAAACTGAATATCTGCATGTTGGGACAAAACAAAGACATGACCTTTGACACCTTGAACCCTTTTTTACTTTATTTATTGAAAACAGAAGTTCCACCAGTCTACATTAAACACATAGTTCATTACAATATAGCTGTAAGGTAAAGAAAGTTAACATAAAGTGAAATAATTATACTAAACTAAGAAGTACAGCAAGCAATAGTAATAACATTAATAAACATAATAAATGTTAAATTTGTAAAGATTATGGGACAAAGCAGCTTGTAAAAGTGCGAAAGTGTAACATTTCTAAGGATGTTTAAGGACTTCCTGATCCTTTAGGTCTCATGGATTTTAGAAAGATGATCAACTTCTGGTGCTTGAACATGTGTTTTGTGTTTTTAAGGACTTTTTTTGGACAATAGTTAAACTAATTAATGATTGCAGCAAATAATGTAATTATGCAGCCATGCATGATTTAAAAAAAAAAAGTTTCAATCATTATCTTATTAGTTATGTGCATTTTTTTTGTGATGCACAGCTCAGAATTTTGATTCGTCTAAAACATACACCCATCAAATGTTGAGTCTAGCTGTGATCCAATTGCTTTCTAGTTTAATTTCATTGGTCTGACATTCAGACCTGCTCAGACCGAGACCAGCTAATGAGGCAACGCTCCACTCACGAAGCCAAAACAGCACTATTCTTTGTAAATTAGGAATTGTATTCTCCTCTGATAAGAGTCTTATCTGCAGAGGCGAATAAGTCTTCCACGGTCCTAGACAGCTGGGTTGTTGGTGTCTCGCTGCCACAGCAGGCCGTTTATTCATAACATCCACGTTGTCTTCTCGTGATTCAGTGATCTTGATCCCGGGCCTCGGCCACACGTCTGTCCTCGGCAGACAGAGGACAGCAAGGTCTTCATTTAGCTGCAATTAGCCCCAATTATTAACTGGAACTGGCCTTAGACTTGTGAGACACCACGAGATATGTGTCTGTCCTAAACGGCTCGTTCAAGGCGGCAGATAACCAAAACAATCTGCAACAATGTCTGAATGTTTAATTAAGCAGCGTGAACTGGTGACACTCAGACGTTAGATTATTTGGAGCAGAAAACCGGCGGCTGACAAAATCTTTTCAGCCAAAGTGAATTGACAGAGAAAATCCATTTCTCCGTTCTCGAATACAAACCTTCACACCCGCAGGATTGATGTTTGTGCCTCTATACAAAAACTTCTAGCTCGCTCCTTTTCTCTCTGTTGCTCGTCTGAGACCTGATACAAATTCAAAAGGATCTGCTGCTTTGAAGATAAGCGCTGTGGTTCTGCCATAAACAGTGATTGTGCTGTTTCTTTCCTGTGGCGTGATTTATTTAAAGTATTATGCTGTAAGGATTTGGGCTGGTTTTCCTGGCAGGGCCGGCTGTGTATGTATCCACTACTTGTGTAGCTTATTGGATACTTGAGATTCAGGAAAACACTCAGGGAACCACAAGCAAATCATCAAAGTGCAACCTTTGACTCACAAAGTAACAAATTACCACGTTTTCTAACACCGTAAAAAAATCAACCTAAAAAAAAAAAATTTTTAATTAAATGCAAAATCAGACTCGATAAAATGGTTTATATTTAACTCCCGGTTTGGTGCATCACCGCTTTTCTTTTTATGCGTAGTTGCATAATTGAGAGCTGCCTGCGAAGTGGCAAAGGGGATTTTATAGAAACACAATGCTCGTGGTCTTGCACACAAACATATGCTTCCTTTGATAAAGTGTTTTTATACCAGCACAAATTCTATGGCAGCGTCCCTTAAGACAATATCAGCGTAAAATACCAAGTTATTTTTAGTGCGTGTGCCATTTTGACTTCAAAAAATAAACTTGCAGAGAGTTCAAATGCAACAACACTTATCCAACAAAAACCTCTCGAGACTATTTTCTGGTACCGGCAGGGTGTTGATATCACAGAAATCTTAATGAGATTCTACAGCAGGTTTTTATTCTACGTATCTGGACTGAAAAGTGTCAAAACTGGGAAAGTGGACGAAACATCAAGCTGTATTTTTTTTTAACCATTGTCGCTTTATTATATAAAAGCGTGTTTTCATGGCATTTTTGTGTCTCTGAAGCACAACCGGGCAAAGCTGTACGTATGTTTTTGCCTGTGATTGTACTCCAAGCGGGGGGGAGAGGGATCTTTTGAACGTCCACACCAGGATACAGCTGCCTATGACTAATTTCAAACTCCCCTTCTAGGGCCGAGGCAACCCATTTCACAAGTAACACACATCACCAGGCATCTGTTTCCTGTTTTCATTCTTTGAGTTATCTTATTTTCCTTATTTCCCCCTCACCTGTTACAGTTCACGTTCCTTCCATCATGCAGCACGGGCCGGTTATGGTCGGACACGAGGCTGTCAGACGTGAGTCACTCAGAAATACCTTTAATAAACCTTCAATCCTTTAAAACAACAATGACTAGAAAAGTGTAGCTTTTAAGATAAAGTTTAATGTCAACACACTGAATGCTGTTTTTCATACAAAATGATACGATTTCCAACAAGCAAAACTCCTTCCTTGACTTTTGCTGAGAGAAACTCTACACAGACGCTATTTTAACACCTATGAACTGTAATATTTCAGCAGCTTCTCATCGGTTGGTTTCAGGATCTTCTTCTCCGGCATGTTAACAACCCAGCCTGGAGCGAGGCCAAAGAAGATCTGTCGAACATCCTTCCTCATGGCCAGCATGTGATAGAGTTCATCCTTTGAAATGTCTGGCAAAACGTAGCCGTACTTCTGGGCCAGGGCTAGCCGGGCCTGCTGGATTTTTTCCGGGTCTGCCAAGTAACCTCGGTTTTCAGCGTCTGTGTAGTACGGTATCATATCTTCTCCGGGCAACATTCTCTTTGGGATTGGCTGCCCACGCATGAAGAACGGGACGGGATTAATGACGATCGCTGCAAAAGTGAGAATACGTTATCAATGTTTTTTTTATGAAAAAGTACATGAGATCAAAACGCTATGAGTTGGAGAACATCAAGATGTATTAGTTACCGAGACTAATAGGATCGTAAAAGTTGGTCGTGATGACGCCTCCGTTCCTTTCAATGGCAGCTATGGCTCCCTCGGACGCCCTCTGAACCTCAATGTTGATCTTTGCTGCAAAAATGTCGGCACCCTGGAGCCAAACAAACAGGGGTCAACACAGCAGCACCTTAGGCTGTTGTCGGTCGCAGGGACAACGCTGTCATGTGGTGCCACCTGCTGGTTAGAGCTGATCCAAGAGCTACAGAGCTGATGTTGTTTTGGATCCCAATTGTCTGGTTTCATTATTCAGCAATTAAAACATACTTTAAAAAAAAAATCTTGTAGTGAAATTGGTGTTCTATTCAAATTGTAATGACATGGAAGGTGCTCATTCTCATTTGTAAAGTACAACACGACAGCGTTAAACTGTTTCTTTATGTAAATAATGAGGACAACATGCAGCTCTACTGGTGGCACTGTAGAAAATACATTTGCATGATTATTTCTGTATAAACACGTTCTTTCTGCACTTAGTAGTATTTGAGATATCTTCATTATGTTGATGAAACAAAACAAAAGAAAAACATGGAACACAAAGCAATGAGCCTCTCCATTCAGCCATCTTCTACAGGGCAAGGAGAAATGACTAACTCCCCTGTGTTTTGTAGTAAAACATTCAGCCTCCATAAATATTACGGCCTCATTCTGCTACGAACATATTAATTGCCTAAAACAAAAAAAAAAAATTTCCTCCAGTCCTTCTCCCACTGACACTGAATGTAACAGACAGTAGTTGGAGTTTGTCAGAGAGATATTTACTGTTTTAACAACTTTCTAATTCTTTTATTACTCTATACGTGTAAGCACGCAGTGACTACCTCATCAACAAGCTGCACTCCATAGTCCCTCTTCAGAGGCTGGATAGTCAGTCCTCTGGCGTTGATAAGCTGTGTCAGGTCTATGGGCTGGGTTGGGTCGACTCGTCCCAAATCGATGAGGTACTGCAGTCGTTTCAGTGACAGAGGCTGGTACTGTGGACGGCGACTGAGAAGGAACAAAATATACTCATTAGCTCACTTTTCGCTGGGTAATGTTCATTTACGGACACTTGAATGTGCAAACGTGATATTTTATTAAATTCTATCTATTCTTTTTAACGAAGGGGAAGGAGAATTTGTTGTTCCACACACTGCATTCTTGACAAAGTACGCAGTATTCCATAAGTGATAACGGGCAGATCGAGAGTGGAATCATAGACCAGAATCCATAACTCAGTGTGTCCACCACTGCATAGTGCCACACATTTGCACACTTGATCTAAATGAGGTTGTTGATGCTGCTTGTGGAACGCTGTCTCATTCTTCCTGAAGTGCTGGGGGAACTGGCAGACATGTTGGAGGACAGGATTATGTTCTTGGACACGTCCATTCAGAGCTGTCTGAAACAATTTCTTACACAACAAACAGTGGGGTTGTGGTGATTCAAGTGTCTGATTATGGTCCCAACTGACATGTCAGTATCCAGCATGCATACAACCTGTTCTCGCCTCTTTGCAGTAATCTAACATCTTGTCCTTTGCAAGATCATCAGTAGTGCAACTTAAAACTAAGAATCTTTGCGTGGCAGTGGTGCTGAGAAAAGAAAAGGTGATTCAATTAGTGAGGAGGATTTTTGAGATGTTGGTTCTGTGTGGTGGACCGAGGCAGGTGTGAACCTCAGTCCACAGTGGCATGCAGGGAGACTTAAGTGCAGGAACACTGATAGGTCTAAGAATGTTTGAGAGGGTGTAGTGTCATGATTTGGGGTTTGAATGTGTGTGACATTTTTAAAGATCTGTTTTGGTGCAGGGTTAAAGGTGGCTGGTAGTCAGTGGGAGAGTAGATCAAACACCAGGTGTTTAAAGGAAAGCTGTGTATTTTTAAGATTTGATCAGTGTGTATTTAAATATTGCTGTGATAAAATGTTTTTACAATTGTTAGTATTTGCTTCCCTGCAGTAAATCACCGTTCCAAAAGCTGCTCTTTCTTCCTGTGGAACTGTTACTGCTGCTTTTTGGGGGAGTTATTATGTGTAGTCCAGGGGTGGGCAATCCTGATCCTCGAGGACCACAATCCTGCATGTTTTAGATGTTTCCCTCTTCCAAATTCCTGATTCAAATGATCAGGATCGTTATCAGGCTTCTGCAGAGCTTGATGATGAGCTGATCATTTGAAGCAGGTGTATTGGAAGAGAGAAACATCTAAAACATGCAGGATTGTCGCCCTCGAGGACCAGGATTGCCCATCCCTGGTCTAGTCCAACCTGGCAAATGAGCTGCTAGTGGGCAAAAACTAGTAGTGAGCTAGTGGGACTTAGCCTCTGCCCTGCTGGAAGGTAGACTGTGGGATGAATGTAGCTGAATGTGAATTGTTAAACACAATTTCTGCATTTGTGCAACAACAAAACAACATTTTGCACCACCAAACATTCACTTGTTAGTTTCAAGGGGGAAGAATAATGCGACTTGGTTTTACCTGTGCCCTTCATAGAATCCATATTTCGGAATAGCCAGATAGAAGGGAGTCTGACCCCCCTCGAACCCCAGCCGAGGCCGGGTTCCTTTCTGTCGCTCTCCTTTGTGCCCTCGGCCGCTTCTGTTGCCCTTATACTGTCCTCTGCCCCGCCGTTTGCCCTACAACACAGCGGCATTAAAAAAACTGACATGCAAACAGCTGACAGAAGGTTAGCATTTGTCTCCAGTGGCTAACACCGGCTAACAGGCTAACTAGCTCTGCTAAGCTAAAGTGTGTGCTGCATAAAGGGTAGCTTATAAAAGAGACGACTCATTAAAACTCACCTCCTGTCGGGCTCCCGGTTCAGGCCGCATGTTTGCTAAAGTTATCCGTGGCAGGTTCTGCAAAGCATCTAATGCTTTGCTGCCGGGTTTTTTGGGGAAAGACATGTTTGTGTTGCTCACATGTCAAAGTTAGCAAACCAAGGACACGCAGGTCACGTGACACGAGAGGGCAGCGGAAGTACTTCTTGTTAGCTTTGCGGCGTTTCAAACTAAAAGCACGACAATCAAAATGTACTACATACACTGCTGATATGAACTATTTTGGGGTGGAAATTATGTTTTGTAGCAGTGTAGAATTAGAAAACTAATATAAATTAGTCGATTTAAATATTTTTAAAGCTGAAAACAGAGCAAACACAGGACGTTGTATACACCAAAATGTGTGCCAGAAGTCATGACACAACATTCTAACTGTTTCAAAACATGTGTTTATTTTAATTCTTAATTTGACACTCATATTTTTACATGTTATCATCACTATTTCCTCAGGTACCGAAGTGTGCTTTGATGTTACGGTCTAGGATTTAAGGGTCATTAACACAGCGCTTATTGACATTTCATTGAACCAATGGCTGTTTTGCATCTGTAAAGGACCGCTAATGAGAGCCAATGAGGGAGCGGAGGGGGCGGGACTACACGGCGAGTCGGCGCAGCCTGCGAGTAGTGTGCTAGCGGTTAGTGTGATCCGACGGTGCGTTAATTTGTCACAAAATTCAACTTCCAAAAAGAAATTCAACACTGCCCGCAGTAACGGGAGGCGGCGTTACCGTGACCTCCGTCGCCGGTCGATTATTTGTCCTTCAGCTGTTTTGTATTCGGGCAGCCGGAGTTGGATCGGGATCGACACAGATTTGACAGTTAGGGGGGTGTCGTTATTAGCTAACATTAGCTAACTTCTCACTACATATCAGCTGCCTCAGCGCTGTATGTGCGGCAATAACATGTCAGCGCCTTTACCTGCCATTGTGCCTGCTGCCCGGAAAGCCACCGCAGCGGTGAGTTAGCAAGACAACACAGTGCATTTATGTCTCATTTCAAGTTCAAAAGCAGCTGCTGACTCAAATGAACACTAAAGAGGTGGACACAAAACAGCTTTCAAATTCTGTGCCATGTGTTAGCCTGTGCAAATGGGTGTTCTTGTTTTTTTATAGGTCATATTTCTGCATGGCCTTGGTGACACTGGGTATGTAAAGACTGCTTTGTTTGAAGCTCTGCTGCAAAATTAGTAGCATATGTCACTCTCCAAGGCAATTTGTCTCTATTTAAAATGGTTTATTGTGTCCAATATGACAGGCATGGCTGGGCTGAAGCTTTTGCAGGCACCAGGATACCACATGTGAAATACATATGCCCACATGCGTAAGTATTTACAGCAGAAAAACAAGTCTACAAGTTCCTAGTTTCAAGCCCTTGTATAGACTTAAATATTCCTGTTTTCCTCTAAAATTTGCATAGTGGGGTATGAACATGTCCAGACCTGTTGACAGGTGTAATAGCATTCATGTTTGGTTCAGTTAATCCAAAATGTTTTTCCTCCACAGTCCCACTATGCCTGTTTCTCTCAACATGAGGATGTCTATGCCTTCTTGGTAAGCCTCACAGTTTCCTATTGTATATCAATAAAGTGTCCCATATACTAGGAATGCCTGCTATTGGGGAAAAAATGACACTGCAATGTACTTTTTATTGTATATATCTTACAATATGATAAATATACAAGAGCTTTCACCAGAGAACAAGAACAAGCTCTTCTAGATGAGGGCATCTGCTCTGAAAATGAAAAAAATGAATTTAAAAAAAGCTAAATTTGGAGCCTTTCTTGTATTATGTAACACTGGCAACAGCATCCAAAATAGTTTTTTTTTTGTGCTTTGCATGGCTTTCAAATCTGGTTTTGCACTTGTTATACAAATCTTTGTGGTGCTGATTCAATTGCAAGACACTGCTGACCTGTTTTTGGTCCACATCATCCTTTCTGTAGCAGACAACTGATGTTGCGTTTCTTATTGCAAACAAATCGTCCTTTTCGGTGTGTCTCTGGTGTTTGTGAGTCATTTTGCTGTGCATGTGTCTGCCTGTCAACAAACTCTGTGTCTTGTGAAAGTAAAAGAAAAGATTGTCTAAGAACCCTTAAATTGCCGTTATGTAAGACAGACTTGTCTTTGTGTGTCAAGCAAAGAAAAGCTGTAGCATGATGTGTTTGAATTCTTTTGCCTAACTTCACACCTCACTTGTGCCGCTCCAGTGTAAATAATTAGCCTTGCATGTGTTTTCTCTTTCACAGGTTCGATATATATGGGTTGAGCCCAGACGCAGATGAAGACGAGGCCGGTATTAAGAGAGCATCAGAGAACAGTACGTCCACGACACGTTTTAGACATTTTCCACTCATTTTAGGAATTCAGAGTCAAATTTGACTGCAAAGGTTTTCTTTGATTTCACTGCAGTTAAAGCCTTGATAGACCAAGAAGTGAAAAACGGGATTCCTTCGCACAGAATTATCCTGGGTGGATTTTCACAGGTTGGTGTGGCATGTGCGCAGATGACGAGTTACATAACAGTGTTTTCACAGGGATTCTCATGTAATGCACACAATCTATTTAAACAGCAAATATGTATTTGCGTTTAAAAGACGCACAAATGCAAGTGCACCTCTCAGTCGTTAGGCTGAAAATATAAATCCATTCATCTATATTGCACAGTTGATTTAAAGCCACAGATCTGTTACAGTAACCTTAATAGGAAACTAGTTTGGCAGCTTGTTTCAGCAGCTGCTGCTTTACAGCAAATAAAGTCAAATTTTGAGGGGAGTGTGTCGACTCATCAGCATAATACCACAGTGACTTCTGCTAAAGAAACTCTTTGGCTCTGTTTTCAGTTAATAAGTAACACAAAAAGGGAGTTACTGTGTTGCAGAAACCTAAGAAAGAGACGTACACCTCTCGCTTAGAAGCTAAAAATCGATTTAATTCAGTCTGTCATCAGGGTTAGGATTAGCCAGCAGAGGCTCCAGGAAGTGAGAAGAAATAATGTAGCTCACAACCTCGTGACCTATTACTTCCAGTATATATATATCACAAGATCAATACACAGTGCCTCCATTAGGAGTAATATGTATATAAACATTTAATTACTTGTGAATCCGGCAAATTGGTTTAAGCAGATAAAAGCCCAGAAGAAGGTAGCAGGAGCAGTTTTCTTCTTCCATTAGGCACTTGAAATACCCTCCATTATTTGTTGATGTGATTCATATTATGTCACGCTCAGTGTCTCTATTAATAAATGCGTAGGATCTATGTGAGAAGAACTGCTCTGTGGGTTTGTTTTTCAGGGTGGAGCGTTGTCTCTGTACACAGCTCTGACTACTCAGCAGAAGCTCGGCGGTGTGGTCGCTCTGAGCTGCTGGCTTCCTCTCCGCAAGTCCTTCCCTCAGGTAGGAAAAACACGACGCCGACAAGTCTGCACTGGTGCTTCGTTCGCCGTCTTAAATGCAAATGAATGAGACGTTCAAGAGAAATTTGAAGGAATTGTTCAGTAGAAATGTGAAATTCATCATCCTGTTAGCCAGTGGAAACTTCACACGTATTTAAGCAGCTGAAAAATACACGAATAATTCCTTCAATATGCATTTTTATGTGCAAGTTATTCCTTTAATTGAATTACACAACAGGGGTATCCCATAAAGAGCTCATAATCTGTTATAATCAGATGATGAGAATAATCCTAATCTCTTCTGTTCTCAGGCGTCTGCCAACAGTGCTAACAAGGACATGCATGTCCTCCAGTGCCACGGGGATGCCGACCCCCTGGTCCCCTTTATATTTGGCAGCCAGACATCAGAGAAGATGAAAAGCCTCGTCAATCCTGCAAACGTCACCTTCAAGTCGTACCGGGGTCTACCTCACAGCGCCTGTCCGGAGGTCGGTGTGAACGCAGTCACATTTGACGCCGGAGCTCATATCGTTACTCCGTCTAAGATCTTTTGTTTTGCTTTATTTTCTGCAGGAAATGGTGGACATCAAGCGGTTCATAGAGAAGCAGCTTCCTCCCATCAGCGACGAATGAACCCCAAGAGAGTCGGCTCACCCGCACAGCACCGACGGTCCTTCAGGCTTGACTCCAGTGAGACTCCTTGGATTCGAGGACCACTGACTTACTTGACAATAAAACCACGCTGCTACTCATAGATCCAGACAGGACTGGGGCTGCTAACGCGTTAAGCCCGGGAGAAGCATGAGTGAACCGATGCTGCATCCTGACCTGGAGCCACTCACACTCACAGTGTTACAGTAGAGTAACATTAGTTGCTTGATTGTGAAGCTATTTGCCATTGAGACAAGCCATTTCTTGCAGGAAACGTATGTATTATAATAACTAGGGCTACACATTACGGTTTAATACCTACTGTCTCACAATAAATGGCCTGTTGTTAAATGTTTTTTTCCCCCCATTAATGTAACTCGTGTGGCGTAGTGATGAAATAAGTCTATTAGTTGATAAATTAACGCATTTAATTAAGGCATTCTATCAAGCAAAACCGCCAAATATCTGTTGCTTCCAGCTTCTTAAATTTAAGTATTTGCTGTTTTGTTTTGTTTTAAATGAATGTAAATATATTTTGGGTTTGTTGATGAACAAAATAGACATAAGTTCGGTACTTTTCAGTATTTTTAACATCTTACAGAGAAAACAGTGACTCTAAAGAAGGAAATAATTGCTTCTGGCTGCCCTATGAGCAGGATATTTCTCTCAACAAACCTCAAAAGCATTTTCAAACAAAGCACATATGCAGCTTAATATGCAATCCACACGTCTAATGAGGAACTTTTAACTTAAGAAAGCAAAGAATATTCTGTGAATGTTCACGACACGCGACGGCCAAAACAACATGTGATTGTGCTTTATTTAATTTGTGAGAATTCAAATAGCTATTTCACACAAATTCCTTTTTAAATACACAAATATAATCAGTGGTCATGGTCATGTATTCATTTTCTTTTTCCCTGTCTTCTTGAAATTAAATATATGACTAATATCACAGTATTGAAACACAACAGACAAGATCTATTTCCGGGTATCAGCTCGTCAAGTTGTAAAAACTTTTTCATCTTTGAGAAGAGCTGAAAGCACCAACATGTGAAGTCATTGTGGCACCATTCACGTTAGACCAAAGGTGCTTGTGTAGAAGATCTTATTCCAAGGCACTTTCCTTCTTCTTAAGTTACTGTTAAATAAAACCTACTGGTTTCTACAAGAACTGAATATGCATTGAGGCTCACGATATACCTAAATACAAATGCAGTGCTCACAGATACATGCTTTCTCTCAATAAACAAGGTAGAAAAGTGCAATGTCAAGCGCTAGGGAATATATAAAAATATAGATATGTTTTTGAACAAGTAACTGATGCTGGATCTAGCATTTGTTCTTGTTTGCTCCAAGGGTTTTGGTAAGCTAATCATGGTTAAATAAACAGCAGTTACAGCTGGATAAAGACCGGTTTTAAGTAGTGTTCATTTTCCTGTCTTGTCTTTCTTTAAATAGCAGGACTCCAACATGAACACAGAACTCCTGTGAGTGGGATGCATGCGCCGGAAAGCTAATCGTGTGGCAGTGGGGAGTCTTTATGGCTCGGAGGGAGGCTCCTCCAGGCTCTTGAGCAGATCCGTGTACGCCGACGAGTTTATATAGCGAGGGTACGAGTCTCTCTGCATCAGCGTGTAGATCTGCTGCTGGGCGTCGTCAAACGTGTGCGAGGTCGGCTCCAGCATATTGCGGTTTATCACGTCTCGGACGCGGGAATCCAAGCTGACCTGGAGGAGGATGGAGAGACGGAAGAAACTGAATGTGAGCACAACATAAGTGATTCATCTGTTGGGGTTTCTATAGAACAGAAAAGCCTGCATACACTCCTGAGTTCTGCTCCTCCTACAAGCGAGGACATTAAAAAATGCAGTGGGTAGACTGATAACTCCTGCTTTACTCACTTTTTGCTCCCAATATTTAAGCGTTTTGGTATTTTGACAGGAGCTTGGCTTAGCTGAAATCAAAAAAGATGCATCCAGGCCCGTTTACAGCAGCTAAAAAACAGGTTCTCTATGGAACCATTTTTAAGATAGTTCTTATTGGCTCCATCAGGCACAAAAAGAAGTCACATTTCTGATTCATTTCCATTCTAATACAGTTAATATTTTGGCTTCTGGGCTGTTATTCAGGCACAGCAACAAATTACAAGACGACAGCTTGGGATTTGGGTAATTTTGATTTGTGTTTCTCAGTTTTCTGATGTTTCTTAGACCAAATAATTAATCAATAATGAAAACAATCGTTAGTTGCAGCTCTAATTTGATGCTCCTACCTGCTGCCAAACCAAATAACTCCTTTAGTGCTTTAAAGAACCACATAAAGAACATGAAAAATAATCCTCTAAATATAGGAAAAAGAGGTTCAACTGGTGATGGTGCTTTGAAGAACCATTTAAGAACCATTAATTTTCTGAAAGTGTACAAATAAAAGATGCCAATAAAAAAATAGATGACAGTATTTCCAGCACACACACTAAAAGAAGCTTATATTGGCAACAGTTCTGACAATAAATCAAACTTGGAAAAGAACAATGATTCCTGATTGGCTCGTTTTCATTTAGCAGGATTGCTGAAGAAATACTTTTGAAGGATTTAAGGATGTATGTTTTTCACTTTCGTGCCAAGAGTTATACAAGAACGCTGATACCGCGCGTAGAGATGAAGCGAACGCCAGAAGATTGTTAGCCTTTTGTTAGCTTAGCTTAGCATAAGCTAGCTTTGTTCTATCCAAATTTCAAAAATACACCAACAAGTACCTCCAAAGTTTATTATTAAACATGTTATATATACTGTGTTTATCACACAAAAAAACTGCTGAAGTTTAACAAGGTGCTAAGTGCTTAGCTTTAGTGATGCTAGCTATGTGTCTCCCCTAGCCCAGGCTGTATGCTAGGCTAAGCTAACCAGCTGCTATTGATCTTCTTACTCTTACAATATCTTACAATTCCTCTTAATACTGTGTTTAATTTGAGTTTTGGACTGTCGATGGTGCAGTTAAACAATTTGATGAAGCTAGAGAGTTATAAAGGGAATATTTATATTTTTAGGTTCTGAATCAAGAAAATAATCAATTTATTATTGCCCTAAAATATTGCATTTCTGATTAATTAATGTGCGGATCATAATATATATTGTTTATTTTGTAGAATGTCAGAGAAGTTATGAGTTAATCTTTTAAAATTTGTTGTCCAAAACCCTGAAAGTGTCCACTGTACAGTAATATAATACAGAGAACAGTCCTGACATTTGAGTGCCTAAAACCAAAAAATGAATCCATCTTAACTAAGTGTTCAATTATTACTGGACTGATTATTATTTTTTTCTAAAGAATTCACTTGAACTAAATCATACAGACCTTTTTTGAATATCTCACCTCTTTAGGGGAAAGAATCGAGATGAAGTCCTCGTATATCTGACGTACTTTCTCCTCCACCACGGTCTTGTTCGTCTCCTTCTTTAACTCCTCGCAGGCGAGCCAGAACATCATGTTCTCCTCGCTGAACTCTGTCCTCAGGAACTGCCTGAAGCAGCTTCGCCCGGCTGCACTTTTCATCACCTTTTCAAATGACATTGCCCAGGAGCGAGCGTCTTCCAGAGTAGGCTTCAGGCTTCACAAACAGAAAGAAGAGTGAATATATTGGTTCACCATCTAATCGTCACCAGGATTGTGTTTAGCTGAAGTGTTTTCGGAGGGGTCACGTTACCTTTCTTCACAATTAATGGTTCCTTCTGTCCTGCGTTCGAACGTGGTCCTCTGTATTGTTTCATCTTCACCCCTAACAGTCAGACTGGGAGGAAAAAAAACACACAGTGAGAAATGTTTTGTTTTGATCGTTGGGCTATTTAAAGAACCTTGTCAACCAAGTTTGATGTTTTCCACTCGGAAACGGGAGCCGAGCATTTAAAATAGCCTCGCGGTCGTTTGATGTAAACTTTTCTTACTAAAAATATTGCATGAAGGTGGAAGAACGGACGACTAAAAACGGCACGTCTATAAAAAGCTGCATGGCCAAAAGTATGTGGACACCCAAATATGTGATTTTTAAACATCTATCGTACAACTTTAACAGCCTCCACCCGTCTGGTTTTAGATCTTCCATCATTTTGGAAGCTGGCTGAAAGGATTTGCTCCCATTCAGCCACATGAACATGAGTGATGTCAGTGATAAAGCCAAGCTCTTCTCAGCGCTGAATGGGATTCAGGCTACGGCTTTGTGAAGGCCGGCCAAGTTCTTGTACACCAAACTGGGAAAAAAACATGTCTGTATGCACCAGACGTCCCCAAACTGTTCCCCCAAAGTAGGAAACTCACTAATGTTTAAAACAGCACTCCCTAACCTTGAGGGTTTTTTTTTGTTTTTTAGCTTTCATGAAGACTAATAACTGATCTGAGGGATAAATGATTGAAAAAGACGTCTTTTACACAAAACCGTACACATTTTTTCCCATCCAATCTGGAGTTTAAAATAGATGATACAATCTGAAAAAAATGAATTTGGTAGAACTGTGTCAACCAGCAATTATGGGAAGGATGCAACCTGAAGTAAAGTTTTTCCAAAGTACTGTTAAAAATTATAACATCTGATGCTTCTTTCAGCCAAAAACGAGAATGACAGTGAATAACACGCGACTGTAAAACTGAACAAAAAAATGGACAAAAAAACATCGCAAACAAGACGTGAAACGCCACAAGTGAGGCACAAAAGAAAAATAAGATGCATCATGGAACAAATGAGACTCAAAACAACGGAAAGGAGAAACAACGGCACGCAAATTAGACACACAACAAAAAAATAAGACACAAAACAACAGAAAGGAGACAAAACTGTCCCGATGAGACATTAAACAGCACGAAATCAAGACACGGAACGATAGAAACAAGACACCAAAGAAAAATGAGACACAATGTGATCAAAATAAGATGCAAAACCTCATAATAAAAAGCAAACCTTGTGTTCTACTGTACAGTGCTGCCATCAGTTACACAACAATTCAGGAAAATCTTTGTTGTAATCACCAAAGAGAAGTTTTTTAAAGCTCCAGATCAAGAAGGAACCTCATTAATGCATCCATCAGCTGTTTTTGTGTAGTTATTCTCACATACAACTTAAACATATGTGACACCACTGGTTTGAATTATCTGTTATAGCATTAAAACGTCCATTAACTGGAACTAAGCAGCCTATAAACATCACGTATGTTATTGCACATGTTGACCGAACTCAGGTTCAGGTGGATCCGCTGGGAACGTTTGCGTAAATAGTAAAGTGTGTCGACTGTCCCGCTGCTCCGCCGGGGAACGGCCGTGTAATTAAAATGTTCCCAAATACCTGCAGCAGCAGCTGGCTGTAGACTAATTAAACTCAGGTGAGAGTCGGCCGTTAAACGGAGGCCACATAGACGAAACGTTTTACTCGTCCCCAGAGGAGGGAATTAACAGCACAACAGGTTTGTGTCCTCAGAGGAAGCAAACGCTGCCGATAATTCCAAAACAGGTTAAAACCCCGCGAGGCCTCCAACCAATGAGAGCGCGGCGCAGGTCACATGACCTCTGAGTTTCTGTTTTTCTGTGATGATGGTGTGGGCTGAACAAATCCACCTTTATGTTATTATACACCTCAGTCCAGAATGAAGCTAAAACAAGTGATTTAATAGATTTGATATTTTCTGATTTAAATTGAATATCTTTGAAAGGATAAAACAAGACATTTCAAGACACGCTATGAACTCTGGGAAGTTACCGAAACAGTGAAAATAATCATTAAAGTAACAGTAAAGGCAGTTGTTTTAGGTTTTGTTTTTACATTAGAAGACGTTTGTATAAGGTGGCTCAGTGGTTAGCACCGTTGCCTCGCAGCTAGAAGGTCGCCGGTGAGGACACCCAGGAGTTTGCATGTTCTCCCCGTGCAGCGTGGGTTCTCGCTGGGTTCCTCCCACAATCCAAAAACATGTTGAGGTTAATTGGTGATTCTAAATTGTCCGTAGGTGTGAATGTGAGTGTGCTTGGTTGTCTGTCTCTAAGTGTAGCCCTGTGATAGACTGGTGACCTGTCCAGGGTGTCCCCTGCCTTCACCCTAAGTCAGCTGGGATAGACTCCAGCCCCCCATGACCCAAGTGAGGATTAATTGGTGTATAGATAATGGATGGACTTTTGCATATTTTGTTATTTCCGCATCCAGAAGAAATTGGACAATCTGAATTTCCACATATAGAAGAACGAGGAGTTTTTTTCTACCCACATTTCTTAAATGTTTGCACTTATCCCCTTTGCTGCTGCAAATGTGCCCGATGTGGGATTAATACCGGCTCATCGTATTTAATGTTGCATACATTATAAAATAAAGCTACTTACACGACTGAATTGCAAATTGAACCGAAAATATGCAGGTTTTTCTGTCTTAAACATCAAAAATATAAAGAATTTTCATCTTACACTTAACATATACGTCTTCCCCTTCCCTCATGGCTGATAGGAAGCTATAATTTACTATATTTAATGTATTTTGCTCAACCTTTACCCTAATTATGCAACAAGCATGCATAAATTTGAACTTATCTTTGCAAAATACGCACCAAAAGCACATATTTTCCTGGTTTTCTACCTGTTTCCTATCATGCCTTCCATGTTACTCCTTCATTTGAGCATTTCTAACCAACCGATCGGTTGTTTTTATCCGTATTAATCCAGCTGTTGTGCATGTTTGGTAGGCTATTCATGGATATTGAGTCACTGTTACTGCAGACGTGTTTCCATTCGTCATTTTTAAGCTTCACTGGTTTCCGCTCAGCAGATACGATTCCCCATGTTGCTTTATTTTCATGCAGTTAAGTGGACGAGCAGCCCGTGTGTGTGTGTGTGTGTGTGTTGTGCATTCATGTAATGTTGAGAAGCTTTTATACATCCATTTAAACACCCTCGTTGGAGTGTCTTCCTCAGTTTTGCAGCCTGTCAATAAAAATGAATGCAGTGCAGCTGACTTCAGAGCTTTGGAAATGACATTCCACTGCAGGTAATTGATGCATAACAACACGCCATGTAAGCCATGCAAATGGAAGGAATTGAATTCAGAGGGATTCTTCAGCAGCGGCTGAGTTTTCTGTCTCCACTGTGATGTTTCTTAAAAGGCCAGTGGAAAATCACAGCTCCAGCAAAGACGTAGCTGCAGGATTTTTTTGTATTTGGAAAGATGTTCCCAAACCACCATTTTCACCCTAGAATTGTATAAATCTGTGTGGATGTGCTGGTAGGAGGAGGGGATCGGTGTCTTTACCAGGAGCAGCTACAGCAGCAGCACCAGCAGAAGCAGCAGGCGTTTGAGGCGTTGGTGGGGGTGTTTCCCATTCTGTGGCGCGCTTGGAGGACACTGGCAGCTGCTTCCTGATGAACCTGCATCTGTCTCTTACGCATCTCCACCCGCTCTGAGCCCATGGACTGCAAAAAGGAAAGAAGAAGCAGGAAGAGGAGGAGGAGGAGGAGGAGGAGGAGGAGGTTTTACTGGAAGATTATTACCGCATTAAGAGGGAGCATCGCACACAAACATCACAATATAAGGAATCACAGGAGATTAGAGATGTGATAGGACTCAGATCCAAGCAGGCCTTAGAAGAAGGAGGAAAATAAATTAAACCAGGCAATAAAAGCTCCTTTAAGCTTCCAGATATGTTACAGTGGCTGTTTGCTGTAATAAAACTGAGCACATAAACCGTGTCTTGCGGAATGCACGACCACTCCGAGGGGTCAACTTCTGTGCACATCTGGATCCACCAACAAACAGCTGGAGGAGCCAGTGGCGAACATAAAAAAAAAAACCCAAAACGTGATGAGCAACAACCAGCCCTCCATCATCTCATCTGTTCTGCTCCTCTCTGCTGTCTGATGATCGCGACAAGGCGTTACTCCTGGACCGCTGCAATCGCATCCATCAGTCGCATCCTTGGGGAGGAAACGCGCACGCATGATGGTCGAAAGCCCGGAGCGAACGATTTTGAAGCAATTTATAGAAACATGATGAAATTATTTGATCAGAAAGCTTGATAACGCACCAGATCTCTCCCTCCTTTCTTCATTTTAAAAAACAAACAAGCACGTATTTCCTCAATCAGCGACATTTTCCTTTCAGTGCAGCTCAGAATACGCACGAAATATCCAAAAAAAATTAACATTTCTCTTTGCTGGAATATCCACATAAAGATGTTCCAGCCTCCACTGGAAGCTGAATTTATTTTCCTCCTCCTCCCCAAATAAAAGATGCGCAAAAACACGACATGTAAAAGCAGACTTTTGTGTTTTAAAAAATACAATCTCATGTAAACGTGTACTCACTGTGTCACCATGAATGCCAGAATACAGGTGATTTTTTTTTTTTTTTTTGCCTCGATCACATCCGTCTGCCTCGACTTGACACAAACCAGTTGGTCTCCTCTCCGCGCATGCGTCTCCTGCAAGTGTGAAAAGATTTTTCTGCGCCCGTGTATTAACAGCCAGAACACAATGTGCGCTGACTGTGACAGAAATGGCTTCTTCAGGACACACTGTCACACCGATGCACGGCTCACATGAGAGCTGAGGAGGGGTTTTATTTTTGTAATCGATTAATGATTCTTTTTTTTTTTGGTGATTGAGCTGCAGCTGCATCATCACTGACTTTATGCAGCTTGTTGGAGTGAAATGTGAATAAAAGTGTTGTTAGTCTGCATTTGTGTTGCTACAGTCAAACCTCATCAGGGGTTATTTATAAAGCTGCATGGAGATATAACACCTGAGGGTTCAGTTTGTGTGTTTTATGTGTCTTTTGTAGCCATTTTGCATCTGCTTGTTGTCGATTTGTAGTTATGTTGCATCTCTTTGTGATCATTTTGCACGTTTTGTGGCTGTTTTTGTGTCTCTGTAGTTATTTTGTATCCTTTTTTGATCATTTTGCATTTGCTTGTTGCGATTATTTTGCATA